AGATGTCATATTGTTATTATTATTAAAAATGTCTATTTTTCACCAAAAAATTAAGAGAAATGAAAAAAAGTACAAAAATATGGGCATAGAAAAATTAAAAACAGCAATAAACAGAAAATGTTCCTGATAAAGCCCAGATATTGGACTTACGAGGCAAGGACTATCAGCATTTTTTTTTTCTTTTTTTTTTTTTCCCCCTGAGACAGAGTCTCACTCGATCACTCAGGCTGGAGTGCAATGACACCATTACAGCTCACTGGAGCCTCGGTCTCCAAAGCTCAAGCAATCCTCCTATCTCAGCCTCCCAACTCAGCCTCCTCAGTACCTGGAACTACAAGTGGACACCAACACATCCAGCTAATGTTTTTTTTATTTTTTGTAGAGAGAGGGTTTCACCCATGCTGCCTAGGCTGGTCCTGAACTCCTGGGCTCAAGTGATACACTCACCCTCCTTGGCCTCTTGAAGTGCTGGGATTACAGGTATGAGCCACCACACCTGGCCAAAATACACAACTCTTAGATGCACAAAAAAATATCCACCAAGAAAGACCATGTTCTGGGCCATAAGTTTCAATAAATTTAAAAGAGTTCAAATTATATAACATAGTGTTATCTAACCACAAAAAAATTGAAATACAAATCAAGAACAGGGGATAGGATCTGAGAGAACAGTATTGGGACATAGCAAGTTTGTAGAATAGATCCACAGATTCACTGACAGTTTCTCCACACACAAAAAGATGACAACAACTAACTATACACACAAAAACCACCTTCATGAGAACCAAAAATCAGTGGGATAAATGGAAACAGCCATCTTGGACTAAGACGGAAGCCATGTACTGAGAATGGCAGAGCCACAAAGAAGGGGCCCATGTCCATCACTGCACAGTCAACCAGATCAGACCAAGATTGCTACCATGTGTATTATGATGTGAGAGAAATAAGAGTCTCTCTTCTTTAATCCTTTATTGTTTTGACCTTTGTTATAGCAACCTAATGTTTGTACAAGAGGGCTTTCATTTCTTATTTCATTCGTTTCTGCATTGTTTTATAGCATGTATAATTAGTTTAAGAATTTAAATATATACATTATATGTGTTTATCTTTAAGCAAAGACAGAGATGTAAGTAGATATATATAAATATCTATATACAGAGACGGTGAAATCTTTATCTATCTATAATCTGTACAGAGGTGATACAATGTGCAGTGGACCAAAGACTTTAGATTTTCATTTTCTGATATATCAAAATATTTCAAATTATTTATACCTTTCTATAAATTAAATTCACAAACCTTTATTGAGAATTAGTCATGTGAAAGAAACTAAAGTGACAAAAATAAATATGTAATTTTTTTTAGAAAGTACTATATTCACTCATGAGTAGCAAATTAATTTCAACAAAACAGTATCATCCACACTTTTCAAGTAATATTGTTAATCTAAAGACCATTGATTTGAAGTTTTGTTTGTACTTAATTTGGCAAAATCTGTTTTGTTTTATAGGTGTATACAAGCTCTAAGGAAAATAAATTTAAATAAAGTTTAATATTTGAACATTTTTCAGTATCTTTAAAATTTTTTTATATATTTATAATAAAATAATTAGGTCTCCCAAAATTTATTTATTTATAAACTAAACACACATCTAACCAACCCATGGTTCAAAGAAGAAATGAAGCCAGGTGCAGTGGCTAACACCTATAATCCCAGCACTTTGGGAAGACAAGGTGGGCAGATCACCTGAAGTCAGGAGTTCAAGACCAGCTTGGCCAACATGGAGAAACGGTCTCTACTAAAAATATACAAATTAGCCAGGTGTGCTAGCACACACCTGTATTCCCAGCTACTCAGGAGGCTGAAACAGGAGAATCACTTGTTTCCGGGAAGTGGAGGTTGCAGTGAGCTGAGATTGTCCCACTGTACTCCAACCTGGGTGACAGAGCAAGACTCTCAAAAAAAAAAAAAAAAAAAAAAAGGAGGAGGAGGAAATCAAAAGGGAAATTATCAAATATTTTGAACTAACTAAAAATGAAAACACAATATATCAGAATCTGTAGGATAGCACTACAAGCAATACTTAGGAAAGAATTTAGAGCACTAAATAACTATATTAGAAAAAAAGAATTATCTAAAATCAATGACCTCAGAGATCACACTAAAAACTTTATTGAAACACCACATATTCTCACTCATAGGCGGGTGATGAAAAATGAGAACACATGGACACAGAAAGGGGAGTACTAAACACTGGGGTCTATGGGGGGGAAAAGGGGAGGGCCAGTGGGAGGGGGAGGTGGGGAGGGATAGCCTGGGGAGAAATGTCAAACGTGGGTGAAGGGGAAAAGGAAAGCAAAGCACACTGCCATGTGTGTACCTACGCAACTGTCTTGCATGCTCTGCTATGTACCCCAAAACCTAAAATCCAATAAAAAATTAAAAAATTAAAAAAATTTAAAAAATTAAAAAATAAAAATAAAAAAAAAACCTTAAAATCCTGTAATTCCAGCACTTTAGGAGGCCAAATCAGGTGGATTGTGTGAGTCTGGGACCTCAAGACCAGCCTGGGCAACATGGTAAAACCCTGTCTCTAAAACAAATACAAAATTTAGCCAGGCGTGGAGGTAAATGTCTGTAATCCCTGTTAGCCTACTTGGGAGTCTAACGGTGGAGAATTGCTTATGCTGGGAAAGTCGAGGTTGCAGTAAACCATGACTGCTGCCACTATACTCCAGCCTGATCAACAGAGACCCTGTCTCAAAAAAATAAAAAAATTTAAAAAAGCAAATTAAATGTAATATAAACCAAAAGCAAAAAAGACAATCAAAGCTGAAATTAATTAATTAAATAGGAAAAAAAAATCAATGAAACCAAAAGCTGGAACTTGGAATAATAAGGGATTATTATTTTTGTGGTTGTTTAATAAATAATATCAAAAATCTACTTAAAAATGGTTGGAGGCCAGGTACAGTGACTCACACCTGTAATCCCAGCACTTTGGGAAGCTGAGGCAAGTGGATCACAAGGTCAGGAGTTAAGCCCAGCCTGGCCAAGATGGTGAAACCCTATCTCTATCAAAAATACAAAAATTAGCTGGGCGTGGTGGTGGATATCTGTAATTCCAGCTACTTGGAGGCTGAGGAAGGAGATTCACTTGAACCTAGGATGTGCAGGTTGCAGTGAGCCCAGATCACGCCATTGTATTCCAGCCTGGTGACAGAGCAAGATTGTCTCAAAAATAAAAATTAAAAAAAAAAGGTTGGAAAGGAGTATTTACTGATAAATACTACGTTTATTCAACATGGTTAGAAAAAAAAGCATTGCATAGTATCCTGTAAAGCAGACCACTCCTTTAAATGCTGGGGACAACGTTAAAAGAAAAAACACAACTGAAAAGCAACTTTTTTTTTTTTTTTTTTTTGGAGAGAGTCTTGCTCTGTGGCCCAGGCTACAGTGCAGTGGCGCAATTTCAGCTCATTGCAACCTCCACCTCCCGGGTTCAAGTGATTCTTGAATGTAATAGCCAAAAACTGAAAACAGGCCATATATTCATCAACAAGGAATGGATTTAAAAAATTGTGGAATCCAATGGAATACTATTGCCTCAACAATAAAAAGGAACGTATTATTAACACATGCAACAACATGGATAAATCTCAAAATAATTATACCAAGTGGGAGAAACCAAATATAAAAGGATATATACTATACAGTTCTATTTATATAAAACTGTAAAAAATGCAAACTAATCTACAGTGACAAAGTACTGAACTGGTTTCCTGTATATGATATGGATAGGCTGAGAGGAGTGTGAAAGAGGAATTACAAAGAGATATGAGGAAACTCTGGGGATAATGAATATGTTCAGTATCTTGACTGTGGTGGTGGTTTCATGGGTATATGCATGTCAAAACTCATCACGCTGTACACTTTAAATATGTGCAGTTTACTGTATTTCAATTATATCTACAAAATATCTTTTAAAAAGACATCAGTAATATTACCTTTTCCTTTCAGGTCTAAAACAAACACTATCTTCCCTTTCTTTATTTTTAATTGGCAAGCAAAACTGCATATATTTATGGCATATAACATGATGTTTCCATATATGTCTGCATTGTAGAATGACTAAATCAAGCTATTTAATATATGCATTATCTCACGATACTCTTGTTTTGTAATGAGCCTAATTAAAATCTACTCTTAGAAACTGTCAAGTATACAATGTATTGTTACTTACTATAGTCATCATGATGTAAACAGATCTCCTGACCTCATTCCTCCTATAGAACTATAAATTTATGTTCTTTGACCAACATCTCGCCAATCCCCCCAGGCTTTAGTAATCCCACTTTCCTCTTTGTTAATATGCATTCAACGTTTTCAGATTCCACATATAAGGGAGACTGTAGAGTATTTGTCTTTCTGTATTCTCTTTCATTTTGGCATCGGATAATATTATTTCTGAAACATCCCACAACTAAACATTTTTTTTCCCATATTCTCTGCATTTTTACAAGTTTCGATGCGAGGCACAGCTGTTAAGCTTGCAGAAATACAAATACATCAGCAAAAAATATTTTCACCAACCACCACAATGCAGTTACAGACAGGACCTGCCTCTGCTTTCTCCCCTTATAAGGGGATATAAAATGACTCCAGTCATCTTTTTCTTTGCATCATTAATGACCCAAAGGCACTCTCTAAAAAATAAAAATAAAAAAATTACCACCGTCACACTCTTCAATCTTTCACACCACCTTTTTTTGCTTTCCCATCTTCCAACTCCTCTTGGTCACTAAAAATAATGTCTACACTTCTATTTAGTTTTACTTCACCTTCTCATATCAATCAATTATTTTTTAAAGATGTTTACGAATAAAAACAGTATTTCTTTCCTTTCCTTTTTTTTTAAATTACTGTCCCTTGTGGAGCAGTAATTTGTGGAGCAAAAGTCTGCAGGCAGTGTGCCCAGAGTACCAAGAACAGCATCTCTATAGCTTCTCAGACTTTTGGCTAAGATTTAGTGATCTGTTTTTATCAGTTTAATATCTGGAATGTCTTCTATCTGAAGACAATATATTAAATGGGTTTTTGAAGCAGGGAGATGGAATAGGAGCTTGCTTGATCCACTCCACACATCAACCTAGTATTGCAGTACCTCCAGGAATGGTGAACCCCCCACCTCAAGGGATAAAAATCAAAAATCAAAAATAAGATTTCTATATACTTACCTCAAGTACTGGTCCAGCACCAAGAATAATCTGTTCTACTCCACTGGCAAATCCTTTCTGACTGAGAGCAGTAAGGTGGTGAATAAGAAAGTTTGTGCTTTGAGTCTTCCCAGAACCACTCTCTCCCGAAATCACGATGCACTGATTCTTTTTGCGCTGAAGCATGGCATGATAAGCTACATCAGCCACAGCATAAATGTGGGGCTCAAGTTTTCCCAGTTGGTGGTTATCATACATTTTGACGTATTTGGGGTTATAAATAGGAAGAAACTTGAATGGGTTAATAACTATTAGAATACTGCCAACATAGGTATAAATTTTTTCATGCTTAAAGCGATTTCGTAGGTTTTCTAAAAGAGTTTTCTCATTCAAATCAGGCAAACTACATAAATCATCAAAGTCTTTCTGTTGAGGCTGTGGAAGAAAACCCCGTTCCATCATCCTGCGACGTTCTTCTGTTACCCGTAGCCATGACTGCAGGCTACCATAATGGATTGATCCATCAAGGTTTTTTTCTCTCAGAAGAAAGCGGTAGTCCTCTCCACTTAAGCGATTTTCCAGAGCCATTCGGGGCCACAACATCATTCGCTGAACTGGACAGTCTGTTGGATTGAGTATCCATTCTTCTCCACCAAATTCCTTTACCTCTGCTAGAACGTAACATTTTGCTTTGTCCAGATGAAGTCTGTTTATAAGGGCCTCAATCACCTCAGCAGCTGTGGAGTTTTTTCTGGCAGGAATAGGACAGTAGATTGTCCCTTCTGAAATAGTCCCAGGATATATCCGTAATGTATGTTCATTATCTTCAAAGCGTCGTCTTCCTCCATCATTTATATTCATATTGGATCCTGTCCCATCAGCATGGATAGTACATGTTCAAAGTCGTGCAAACCATTTTCTTGGTAAAATAACTGTAACATAAAAGATGTAAAATATTTAGAAGTAAATATACATTGCTTTCTGATGCTTAAGAAAGAAAAGCTTAACAAGTCCATTGATTATATCTTCTAAAACACAAATACTACCTCTTCTCTTATCACAGGGACAGCTTCATGAGACCACATAATATGAAGTTTCACTGTCCAAATCTGGGCACTTTCTAAAACAGTAACTTGCCAAAAAACATATATTTTATTATTTTTTTGTTTTTTGAGACAAAGTCTTGCTCTTATCACCCAGGCTGGAGTGTAATGGCATGACCTCAGCTCACTGCAACCTCCCCCTCCCAGGTTCAAGCAATTCTCCTGCCTCAGCCTCCTGAGTAGCTGGGATTACAGATGCCCACCACCGCGCCTGCCACCACACCTGACTAATTTTTGTATTTTTAGTAGAGACAAGGTTTCAGCAAGGGCTGGTCTCGAAACTCCTGACCTTGTGCTCTGCCCACCTCAGCCTCCCAAAGTGCTGGGATTACAGATGTGACCCATCGTGTCTGGCCTCAATGTATTATTATATTAAAAATTCAAAATCCAAAGAGTACAAAGAAAAATTATTTTTCTCCTGCTCTCTCAAATGTTTGGAAGGTACTTGGAATTAGAACCAAGTTATTTCTTTATACTTAACAAAGACTGGATTAAGACAGAATAATCATGCAAATCTAATTGCCCTATACCAAAAACTCCTTAAGGATAAAGCAAAAACAAGAAAGAATGCCATCAATGGAGCAAAAATTTTACAAAATTTGTTAAAAACTGTAAGAGGATGAGATAGAGAAATTACATAAAACCAAGAAAATGATGAGAGAGACCAACTAAAGAGATAGACATATTTTCAAAGAATTCTAGGCTCTGACTCACTCCCTCCCACAAGGTGGGAAGAAGGGAATTTGGCAAGAGCAACAACAGACTCCTGCTCCTAACTTGCTGGGCAAATTTAACAAAATTATGTAACTAGGCACCACTACAAATTTTATTAAGCTTTCCTTTGTCCTTCAATGCTACCATTATATCTTTTTATCTAAACTTATTTATTGCATTCTTTACAAGTATTCTGCATATTCATTCTTCCCATCTTCTCAAACCTTATATATAGTATATCACACTTCTAGAAGAATGATATCAGCTTTCATAACTCACTGAGAAAATAGTGATATTCCTTCAAATGGCTTCTGCAACTCAAAATTTATTCCTATCTTCACCTCATCTATTTCTTCCATTCCTGTCTTAAACTGAGAAAATATGCCCCACACACTTTCCAAGGCTAATAAAACCTATTTCTTATCTTAATTAGTTCTACGCCCCCCAAAAAAACTACTCTCATGTGTCATCAATATTTCCCTTTTAATTTCATTCCTTTAACATATAAAGATGATGTGCTATTAAAAAAAAACAATAAATACTTTCAATTACCTTTTTTTTTTTTTTTTTGACATAAGGTCTCTGTCAGAGACCAGGCTAGAGTGCAGCAGGGTGATCTCGGCTCAGTGCAACCTCCAACTCCCGGGCCTAGGTGATCCTCCCACCTCAACCTGGCTGGGGACTACAAGTACGCACCACCTTGCCTGGCTAACTTTTGTATTTGTAGTAGAGATGTGGTTTCACCATGTTGCACAGGGTACTATCTATCCTCTCATACTACTACATATTTGTCAAAGTCTTCTAATCAAGAAACTATTTTTTCCCTTTTGCCTGGATGGTGTTTCAAACAGAGAATAATATAGAGCATATTAAAAAAAACAGCTATATAGGCCGGGCCTGGTGGCTCATGCCTGTAATCTCAGCACTTTGGGAGGCCAAGGTGGGCAGATAATCTGATGTTAGGAGTTCGAGACCAGCCTGGCCAACATGATGAAATCCTGTCTCTACTAAAAATACAAAATTAGCCAGGTATGGTGGCACATGCCTCTAATCCCAGTTATCCAGGAGGCTGAGGCAGAAGAATCACTTGAACCCAGGAGGCTGAGGCAGAAGAATCACTTGAACCCAGGAGGCAGAGGTTGCAGTGAGCCAAGTTCACACCACTGCATTCCATCCTGGGCAAAAAGAGTGAAACACTATCTCAAAAAAAAAAAAAAACAGCCATATAGCTACTACCCAAATTCAACAAGTTTGCAAACTGCTATAACTTGCTCTAGACCACTTTATAAACAAATTATTAGAGATACAGTTAAAGTTCCTTCCTTTGCACTTCATAGATAAGCACTATCCTGAGGTTTGTATTATTCTCATACATAACTTTATATTTTTATTACCTGTGTGGTCTCCATAAATTATATAAAGCATTAATTTTAAGAGACAGAGTCTCACTATGTTCCCCAGTCTGGCCTCCAACTCCTGGGCTCAAGTGATCCTCCTCTCCTGCCTTATTCTCTGGAGCTGGGACTACAGGTAGATGGCACCATGTCCAGCTCTCATTTTTTCTTAAGCTTTAAAAAGATGATGTATTTAACAGTCTGCTTCTCACTTTAATATTCTTTTTTATTTGTAAGTGTTGACACATACAATATTCGTTAATTGCCAAACAGTATCCCACCATAAATTCAAGTTTTGAATCAATCCACTATCCTAGTGAACACTAGAAGTTTCCGGTATTACACTATTAAAACAATGCTGCAATTCTCATGTTTCCTTACACGTCTTTGCTAGAATTTCTCTGGGCTTCCTGTCAGAGTGAAACTGCTAGGTTTTAGATCATCTTCAACTTCACTGAATATTAACTGTAGTTAACTATTAATATATGCTTATTTTACCAGCCATTTTTCTAAGCATTTCGGATGGATTATTTCATTTTATCTTCACAATTCCTCTTCACAATTCCAACCCCTAGGGTTGTTTTTAATTACCCTCCTCATTAAAAAATGCAGAAACATTACACAACTTGCCCAAAGTCATAGTCGGAATGTAATAAACGTGAGATTTGAAGCATACAGCCTCTAAAACCTGTATACTATTATTTCCTAATATAGATTTTTAAAAAAATCTTTCTGTATCCTTAGAACATAAAGTTATTATCCTATATTTTCTTCTAATAGGCCTAAGTTTTGCTTTTCTCATTTAGCTCTTTAATCCATATGGAATCTATTTTCAGTATGCTATGAGATAGGACTCTTAATTTTCTTGACTTCAACTCAGATTAGCAACTGAACCAGTACCAAATAGTTTATCCTTTCCGCATTAGTTTCTGCTTTTTTTGTTTTGTTTTGTTTTGAGACAGAATGTCACTCTGTCACCCATACTGGAGTACAGGAGTGTGACCTCAGCTCACTACAACTCCTGTCTCCTGGGTTCAAATGATTCTCCCACCTCAGCCTCCCAAGTAGCTAGGATTACAGGTGCCCACCATCACGCCAGGCTAATTTTTGTATTTTTAGAAGAGACAGGGTTTCACCATGTTAGCCAGGCTAGTCTCGAACTCAGGTGATCTGCCTGCCTCAGCCTCCTAAAGTGCTGGGATTATAGGCATAAGCTACCACGCCCAGCCTCCTCACTGATTTATAATGCCATCTTTGTCATGTGGCAAATTTCACATACCTATCAATCTGTTCTGGGCTCTGTATTCTGTTCCATAGGTCTATTTGTCCACCCCTGAACCTCTGTTAATTACTACAGTCCTATAATTTTGGTATCTGAAAGGCACATTACTTTAACGTGTTGTTCTTTACAAATTTTACCTTGGCTATTTACCATAAAACTTTTAAGTTAGCTCCCAGCACTTTGGGAGGCTGAGGCGGGTGGATCATGAGGTCAAGAGATCGAGACCATCCTAGTCAACATGGTAAAACCCTGTCTCTACTAAAAATGCAAAAAATTAGCTGGGCATGGTGGGACATGCCTGTAATCCCAGCTACTCAGGAGGCCAAGGCAGGAGAATTGCCTGAACCCAGGAGGCGGAGGTTGAGGTGAGCCGAGATCGCGCCATTGCATTCCAGCCTGGGTAACAAGAGCAAAACTCCGTCTCAAAAAAAAAAAAAATTTTTTTAAGTTAGCATGTTTACTATCATAAAAAAAAAC